ACGGACGGATGGACAGACTCAGGAACTCACGGACAGTCGAGGACATGTATCCTAACATGTATAATCTATGTATCAAGTTTGAATGCAAACTGACAAAGCATGTCCAAAATACAACATTTTCAAAAAACAAGATAGCTGCCAGTCGGCCATTTTGAATCGAATCGCTAAACCACTGCATTTGCATATGTCCCACATAAGGTACTAGGCACATGCAAAGAATGAACGGAATCGGTCCACAGGATTCTGAAATATGACTCTGGACAGACTAACGCACGGACGGACGGACACACGGACGGATGGACAGACTCAGGAACTCACGGACAGTCGAGGACATGTATCCTAACATGTATAATCTATGTATCAAGTTTGAATGCAAACTGACAAAGCATGTCCAAAATACAACATTTTCAAAAAACAAGATGACTGCCAGTCGGCCAATTTGAATCAAATCGCTAAACCACTGCATGTGCATATGTCCCACATAAGGTACTAGGCACATGCAAAGAATGAACGAAATCAGTCCACAGGATTCTGAAATATGACTCTGGACGGACGCACAGACGGAGACCGAATTATATCACCGTTTTCGGACTTCATCCGAACAGGGACTAATAAATTTAATTAATACACAGTAGTAAAATTGTTTTTTTAAAAGAGCAAATTAATAGAATTCAAGTAGAAATTTTTCTTTTCTTTTTGGTCGATTCAATAAATATTATTTTTTTCTAATAGCATTTGCCATGACTTGATCTGACATTGACTGGTTTAGAAAAAGTTCATGTACATGGCCCACTGACCGGCGATGCCAAAAGAACTTTGCAGATGCAAATATTTAAAAAAATAATGACATAAGTTACACCTAAGAGGAATATTAAAAAAGTCATACCCCCGGTAGTCCTTGTTAAATAGTGAAAAAAATGAACAGAGTCAGCCATTTTGAATTAGAACATGAAACAAATTACATGATGTATAATGTAGTTCTTAAGTTTGATTGTGATCAGTCAATGTATGTCAGAGAACCAAGATCTGGAATGGCAGAAATGATAGATTTTGTTGAACATGAAAATGGTTGTCATTCAGCAATCAAAAAAATATGTGCATATGTCCAACATGGTGTAGGTATCTAGACAGTTTAAACCTGATTGGTCAAGACATGACAGAGATATGGCTCCAGAACGGCATTTTTTAAAGCGAACCTAAATGCGGCCTTAATTTATAGTTGTGTATATTCTAAACTGTATTCGAAATAATATTGCAGTGGTTTAATTTTGTTTTAATTATAACTGTAGCTTGGATAGGCATTTGAAGTGCTTGCCATGGAGGCCATTCATGGAGGGGAATAATTAACGAACGAACAAATTTAACATCCGGGTACTTTTCAAAGCTATGACGTTTCAGTATCTGATCGCACTCGTATACGCCATTGTACATAGCCGTTCATGCTGCCAAGCGTTGTGTACTATTAGTTATAAACTCAACTTTTATATGCACAATGTGCTTTTTAAAACTTGGGTTAAGAGCCTTATGCGTTTGAACCACAATATTCTGAGAGTGAAATCCCAATTGCGTTAAAGTACCGTACTTCCCCGATCGTAAGCCCCTCCCGAGTATGAAGCCCATCCCTATGTTTTTACTTGGTATTTATCGAGTTGAGGGCATTCACGATTATAAGCCCAGAGTGTTTTTACTGGGCGTCGACGATATTCTTTAAAATATGCGTGTAAAAGGTGTGTTTCATTTCATAATAATCGTGATTGGCATGTTAGTTTGGTTCATGCTTTTAGTTTTATGAGAAAACTCGCATTAATTTCAAGTTCACCAGTCGGCCACTTTGAATCCAATCTGAAAAACAAAATAATATGCATCATGGTCTCATTATGTCTGATGTGTGTACAGTTTTAATGAAATCCATCTATACATGATCAATATCTGCCCCCAGAATTTCAGATATACTTGATTTTGATGAATTTTAAGCATAAAAACTGTTGACTTTGTTGTGCAGTTTCACCAAACTGTGCACCTGTTCTAAGCAACTTTTACACAAGTTGTCATTGTGAAAGGAAAAAGGCAACAGTGCCCAATAAAAAACTCAAAGTGTTTTGATTCCATGCCAAGTGCTGCAATTCTTGTTGGCAGAGTTGCTATGGCTACTAAATTATATATTCATTGCCATGGGAACAGTGTCAAACAAGTGAAATACCATTTTGATTTATAACATCCGTATTGAAAATGTTGTTCTGAACCTTGCACTTTCAATAGTTTGCATTTCAATATCCAAATTCACTCCAAATACGGCAACCAGCACGATTTGTTCACATGGTTCAACATGCAGACGCCATTAGAAGACAACGTTGTGTGATTAGCATATTGTGATTTATTTAATTCCATGTGAAAATATGAGAGATGACAAAAATTATTTTATTTATTATTAATATCATACCTGATTTAGGTGATAATTTTGCTATATGTTGGTGTTCCAATGATCCAATACCACCGCTAAACATGATGGGTTTAACCCACTCTCTCCGTTCTGTTTCTGTGATATTCATACCAAATGACCTTGCAAAACCGGCCAATACTGGTTCCCCAAATTTGTTTCCATAATCTGAAGCACCGTTGCTGGCTTCTATTGCAACCTCCAAAGGTGATGCAAAGTTACCAGGGTAAATAAAGGATTTATCTTCCCATGGAAGATCATAGTCTTCAGAATAAAAGAAAACATCATTATAATATGAATAATCTTGTAATTATAAATATTTTCTATATTCTTTTAGCTAATGTAGGTGAATAACAGAATTTTGAGTACACATGCACAAGTTATTCCTTGTTGAAAAGACACTATGGCTTTTATACCCAGGTTGTCATTTAATCCTGTGTCTATGTCATTTAATCCTGTGTCTATGTCATTTAATCCTGTGTCTATGTCATTTAATCCTGTGTCTATGTCATTTAATCCTGTGTCTATGTCATTTAATCCTGTGTCTATGTCATTTAATCCTGTGTCTATGTCATTTAATCCTGTGTCTATGTCATTTAATCCTGTGTCTATGTCATTTAATCCTGTGTCTATGTCATTTAATCCTGTGTCTATGTCATTTAATCCTGTGTCTATGTCATTTAATCCTGTGTCTATGTCATTTAATCCTGTGTCTATGTCATTTAATCCTGTGTCTATGTCATTTAATCCTGTGTCTATGTCATTTAATCCTGTGTCTATGTCATTTAATCCTGTGTCTATGTCATTTAATCCTGTGTCTATGTCATTTAATCCTGTGTCTATGTCATTTAATCCTGTGTCTATGTCATTTAATCCTGTGTCTATGTCATTTAATCCTGTGTCTATGTCATTTAATCCTGTGTCTATGTCATTTAATCCTGTGTCTATGTCATTTAATCCTGTGTCTATGTCATTTAATCCTGTGTCTATGTCATTTAATCCTGTGTCTATGTCATTTAATCCTGTGTCTATGTCTGCTTCAATTCATAGTGATGCGGGTCTTACAACAATTGTATTTTCCAGGAGGAAACAAGAAGAACAAGGTATGAGCAAAATATTAGGGAATAATATATAAATATTCATGCAACTGTAGAAAAAAAATTAAAAGCACAGCGCATCTTTCGTAAACAACATAATTATGTAGTTTTTTCAACTACAGCAGACTTGTAATCAGTGCAAATACAAATTGTGATAATGTGGTCTGACAGTCAAATAGAACACATTATTGTGAACTCTTTGACCTTTAACCCTTTGGGTACCAATCAACTTTTGTCCCTATTCATAAAATAACACCAACATAATTTTTCTCAAATTTATTCAAAACTTGTGCTCAAAGGGTTAATATGAGCACACAAAATTTTCAACAAACCTGGTATGTGCAGGTTTCCAAAGCAGTAACCGGCTGTACCAGCTACAACATGGGCACCTCTACCTGCAGCCTGAACATCTCGTATTCTGCCTCCGGTACCGGTTGTAGCACCACTGAAAGGAGCTACACCTGGAAATATGCAGCAAAATAGAATCAGTATCTGATATTAATTACTTAATTTACTCATAATTAACTAGGCATGATGCAGTCCCATCTTGAGTGAGTAAAGTTAATACAGAAAAAAAAAGAGGACATTTAAAACTAAATACAATTTTGAGGAATACTTATCTACTAGTATTCTGAATTCAAAATAAATTGATAGCAGCCAAGTTTAGAACAAGCAAACATAACCTAACTATAATTGAAAAAAGAAAGCATACCAGTGTTCTCCCCAAAAATTTTGACCAGGGTGGCGAGGGTAATTTGCATAACATTTTGCATACATTTGCATAATGTAATGTTTTTCCAGGATTGTGTTAATGAATTATTACACTCTTCACAATCACACACAACAAAACCAAACAAAACTATGTTCATCTACCGTACAGAAATACTGGTCTTTATTTACACAATCATTAATAATTATATACAGATTTATTTCATTATTTCACAGGTGTCATGTCATGTTTCCTTTCTCAAACCAACTGTAGTCTTCGGCACTTTTGAAATCAAAGTGGTTGATTGGTGGACCCTCTGCACTAATAAACAATGAACATTTTAAAACAGACAGTCTGTTTCTCAGAGTTGTTTTGATCCTTGAGACAGCAGAAAATTCCTTTCACAATCTACAGGTTATACAATAAAAAACAAAACTTTTTTTATGAAAAATAATCTTGTTTCAACAGTTTTAGTGGTAAATCATGTAAATTTACCAGTAAAACTGTTAGACAAGCAGCCTGTTGGCTGAGATAGCTCCGCTGTTAGCAATGCACATTTCAATTAAGATATCATTAGAAAATGAACAATATGTATACAGTCAAACCTGTCTATAGTGGCCACCCAAGGGACTTTGAGATTTTGGTCTTTACAGACAGGTGGCCTTTATGGACAGGTTCACTAATTTATTCATGAATATTAATTAGGCATTGAATCAATGTAATAAAACAGATCTCTCAACTCCATTTGACACACACTATCACACTACTGTACACATGGTATCCAAACACTTTATTACAAATAAAAATGGTGATGTTTTATTCAGTTTTAAATTGTATTATGTAAATTAAAATCATTTCACACAAATCGAGCATTGCACAATAATGAGTAGTATCAAAAAGTTTGGAGATTTGTACAGTCAAGTTCATGTTCAGCAGCAGTTTTAGTATTATGATGATATCCAACTAAAGAAATCACTCAGCTTTGCTTAGCTGTTCTGATTTTTTATGTTTCTTTTAATATTTATTGTGTCTTGTACACTTAGTAACTGTTCTAATAAATCGGAATGTCTCTGGGCTATAGCAAATTCCTTCAAGGAGAAGGGAGACGGACAGAATTATCAGTGCTTTATTGATCCCTACAATGTACAATGTACTGCAGCAACAAAATGTGTGAAATATGCCTGGCCAAAGGCCGGCGAACTGAGGTCAATTGAACATCATTGTTAAAAGCATCTATTGTTAAATGTACCATAGTAGGCAGTGACCAAAAAAAATGTTGAATGAATTTAGTTGGACCAACGAGACGATACTACACACACATTCCCTCACAGTGATCGATGCACAGTAACGGAAGCGACTCTACTTTTTGACCCGAGTTATCATAACGCCGGAAGAACAAGAATGCACATGTGCGAAGCTAGCATAATTTATTTGGATGGATAAACAACAGGCATGGCCGTTGCGTTGATTTTTTTCCCTTCATACATTTTTTTCGTTGGTAAACGATTCGATCAGGGATTTAACGTAGGCATTCCAATTCACCCCTGGCGATTCACAAAACGCTTGCGAGTCAGCATTGTTGTGGCTGCTCGATTCATTGAACAAAGCCCCAGGTACAAGGCATTTCTGTCCAAGTTATTCCCGTGGTATACATATTTATACAAGCTGGCTGCCAGTCGGCCACTTTGAATCAAATCACTAAACCACTGCATATGCATATGTCCCACGTAAGGTACGAGGCACATGCAAAGAATGAACGGAATCGTCCACAGGATTCTGAAATATGACTCTGGACAGACTGACGGACGGACACACTGATGGACGGACACACTGACGGACGGACACACTGACGGACTCAGGAACGGTCGGGGACATGTATCCTAACATGTATGATCTATGTACTAAATTTGAATGAAAACTGACAAAGCATGTTCAAAATACGAAATTTTCAAAAAAGAAGATGGCTGCCAGTCGGCCATCTTTGATCCAATTGTGAAATAAATCGTCATGGACATGTATCCTAACATGTATAATCTATGTACCAAGTTTGAATGAAAACTGACAAAGCATGTCCAAAATACAACATTTTCAAAAAACAAGATGACTGCCAGTCGGTCATTTTGAATCGAATCGCGAAACCACTGCATATGCATATGTCCCATATAAAGTACTAGGCACATGCAAAGACTGAACGGAATCGGTCCAACGGATACTGAGATACGAGTCCGGACGGACGCACGGAGACCGAATTATAAGTCCCCGTTTTCGGACTTCGTTCGAACAGGGACTAATAAAACAGTGGAAGTTTGTTTTGGAGGGAATCAAAACAATAATAGCAACCCTGCACTGGGCGGTGTTATCTGGTATCTGGTTTTGTACATTGATAACAAAATGTCAAACATGTGTTTTACCATCTAGACACTAGACAACCATGAATCTGAAGAAAAATAAGCCTAATTTTGCAGAAATCAACTTTTGTAGGAACCAGAAATTGAAAATTTTAAACAAGAAAAGCCTAAATGAGGGGGGGGGGGGTATGGGTATTCACAACACATACGCAGTCGCACATCGAGTGTTTTTTTTTTTTTCACAAACACGAAATACCCCGGTAGCTATTTTTTACTACTACTGGCGATGTAACACCCACCTTTTGAATTCTGAAGTTTCTATTAACCAAAGGTATTCTTTTTTTTTAAGCCTGGTCAAAACCTGTCTTCCTTCCCTTTCACTTCTGCTTCTGTCACTAGTAATGAGGGTCGGTGAAATTTACCGAACAAGCCAAGACATGAGGTTAGAGCTACGCTGATGAGCTTTTCAAGAAATTTTCTACGATACAGGTGATGCTTGGAAACACTCCATTTATTTATTTTTAATTCATTGTTTGGCTTCTGCTTTCATTGTAAGATCATTATTTCGCCGTGGCATCAACCAATACGTCGAGCAGTAAATTTTTTACCGATCAACCCAACAGGTAGACTTCCATTAACATTTAATCTCACTGAGAGACAGGGGAGACGTGTTTCACACTGTCTGGTGGGACAAGCAAAAATACAATACACTGGAGACAGGAAGATGCATTTCACACTCCCTGGTGTGAGACTTGTGTAGACACACCCTCGGAAAATCAGCGTGGCGGCTCGAGAGCACAGCGTTGGGGGGGGGGGGGCACAGCGTTGGGGGGGCACAGCGTGGCGGGCAGGAAAAGCACAGCGTGGCGAGCAGGAAAAGCACAGCGTGGCGGGCAGGGAACGCACAGCGTGGCGGGCAGGGAACGCACAGCGTGGCGGGCAGGGAACGCACAGCGTGGCGGGCAGGGAACGCACAGCGTGGCGGGCAGGGAAAGCACAGCGTGGCGAGCAGGAAAAGCACAGCGTGGCGAGCAGGAAAAGCACAGCGTGGCGGGCAGGGAACGCACAGCGTGGCGGGCAGGGAACGCACAGCGTGGCGGGCAGGGAAAGCACAGCGTGGCGGGCAGGGAAAGCACAGCGTGGCGGGCAGGGAAAGCACAGCGTGGCGGGCAGGGAAAGCACAGCGTGGCGGGCAGGGAAAGCACAGCGTGGCGGGCAGGGAAAGCACAGCGTGGCGGGCAGGGAAAGCACAGCGTGGCGGGCAGGGAAAGCACAGCGTGGCCGGCAGGGAAAGCACAGCGTAGCGGCCCACACAAATTGAATGCTGGGAAGAACACTGCATACTAATCCTAAAGCACTATAAAAAAATAGAATTTATGTTTTTAGTCTAATTAGTTCTAGAGCACCTCTACAATGAATTAAATTTAAACCTGATTTTTTTCGATATCAGAAATGGGCTAATAGATAATCAATATGCATGTTTATCAACATCAAACCAATCATGTCTGTGGATTACCTCAATGAACCAAATGAATTATTAAATTAAGCAATTATTATGCATAGATTTACGTCTGTATATTGTTTCAGGGTGCACATGTACAAAGTTTCATTATAATGTGATGATTAATCCTAACTAAATTAGTCGAAAGCTGAAAAGTAAATTATTATGCAAATCAGGTAATTATAGATTAGCATTATAGATTTAAATAAACCTAAAACTAATTTGATCATCACATTGTGTTAGACTATATATGTACCAAGATTCATTGAATTAAGATTAGTACTGTCCCTGCATGACCATTTATGTACAAAATTTCATTTATTATGCAAATTAGGTAATTAATAAGCACTGATTTTAACCTAAAACTAGTCAGGTCTGTGCATTGCCCTAGAACATCTATGTACCAAGATTCATTGAAATGGGATAATTAGTACTTGTGATATCAGTGAAAAAGCAAAAAATTAACACATAATTATGCACATTTTTACTAAAAATTAATCAGGTCTTTGGATTGTTCTAGAGCATCTACATCTATGTACCAAGTTTCTTTGAAAAGTAATGAAGTAATAGTACTTGAAATATCAAGAGCTGAAAATTGATTAATTATGCAAATTAGGTAATTAATATTTCACATATCTGTCTGTGCATCGTCCTATGTATCTATGTAAGTTTCATTGAAATGTGATGATTAGGTTAATTATATGCATGGATTTTTACCCAAAACTAATCACATCTGTGCATAAGTTCAGAGCATATATGTACCAAGTTTCATCAAAATCCAATGAGTGGTTCTTTAGATATCAGTGGAACAGTCATAGAACAGCTAAAAATTAGCTAATTAGCATGCAAATCAGGTGTATGGATTTCAACCAAAACCTAATCAAATCTGCGCATTAGGCTATTATGGACAAAATCAATACAAACTGGACAGTTATTTTAAAAAAAACTCCAATGACACATTATTTTATGGGGTATTTATATACATATACTGTCAGAAAAAACTAACCTGTGGGGAAGTTGTGAGTTTCTGCAGTGAATATGATATGCCTCAGTAGTCGTTTTTCAGTAAAAACACTACTACACAATGGATCAGTTGGACAAATTAACTTAACATCAAACCCTTTTATTGCACTGCAAACAAATAAGAATTGATCATAAAATGTATGCATTGGCCAGTTACATCTAATTGATCATAAAATGTATGCATTGGCCAGTTACATCTAATTGATCCTAAAATGTATGCATTGGCCAGTTACATCTAATTGATCCTAAAATGTATGCATTGGCCAGTTACATCTAATTGATCCTAAAATGTATGCATTGGCCAGTTACATCTAATTGATCATAAAATGTATGCATTGGCCAGTTACATCTAATTGATCCTAAAATGTATGCATTGGCCAGTTACATCTATTGGTAAACATTGCAGTCAGTAATGATTGAGAGAAAAATTTATTGCATTACATAGTTCCCATGAGTTATAAAGTTTGAACATGAATGGTTAATTTATGTCAGAAAGAAGGCACTAGAACAACATTCATTAAAACAAAATGAATGCTTTAAGTTTGAATGTGACTGATAAGATATGTCAGCAGCACAAGTAGGCATGCATACATGTACATCAAGCCATGAATTTGTTTTGAACAGGAACTAATGTATTAGCAATTAACAGTTTGTCATTTAATACTTATTCTACAACTGTGTTCACTTGATTACACAAAGTTACACCCCAGGTGCAGAAAAATCATTATATTTTCAAACAAACAATACAGTTTAATTAACATATTGTAAATTAGCTGACAAATATGATATTGTAAATTAGCTGACAAATATGATATTTTTGTTCTACTTAATACAAACTGAACATACAAGTAGAATGTATAATTAACCATTAATAAGATAATTTTGCAATATGGCTGTGCATAGGGGTACCACTATGTATTCAAATCAAAGTGTCAGTGTGCAGTCAGGTAGCAAGTTAACTCTCCCAAATTTATCAAATTCATTCAGGATAAAGAATTGAGGTGAACAAAGTAACATGTATAATGTCTGCTGTTTGTATCAATTTTGAAGTTTTTTTTATATAAATTCAGCCATCTTGAATCAGATCACGAAATGAATGGACATGCATATATGTATTCCAAGATGCAAGATTAATCCAGGCATGTCCCAGATACAAACTCACATGCATATTAATCCAGGCATGTCCCAGATACAAACCCACATGCATATTAATCCAGGCATGTCCCAGATACAAACCCACATGCATATTAATCCAGGCATGTCCCAGATACAAACCCACATGCATATTAATCCAGGCATGTCCCAGATACAAACCCACATGCATATTAATCCAGGCATGTCCCAGATACAAACCCACATGCAAGATTAATCCAGGCATGTCCCAGATACAAACCCACATGCATATTACCACTTTCATGAGTTAAAGGAATTACCGGTAGCAATAATTCCAGCGTTTTGGTTTCAACTTACCTGCTATTATCAGAAAATTTAATAACATTATTATCATTACTATTCTCTTGCGTATTCATCACCATTGTAAATAAGGAGTCTTCATGTTCTATATCGTCTATTACCATTCGTCCTTTAAAAAACCAATGCCTGCTATGTTCACTGAAAAAGATGGTAAAATAAAACAGTCAGCAATCATCAGCATTCAATGCAGCGCCATCAGAAAGCCTCCTTTTATTTTTATGTCACAGCAAAAACTATTATGGGTTATGAGATAGTTTGTTTCTAAGTAAACTAGGGGGTTTCATTATCTTATCTTAAAGATTTACATAATTGTTACTATAGTTACCTGTTGGACTGTGCCAGATCAAAACACTCCACACTTGTAGGGTTTCTTTTGATTTTCTCTTTGAACATTGTTGTATAGTAGTCTAAATCCCAGTCATCAAATGCAAGACCTAAAAATAAACAGAAAATCTTACTACATCATAAAATAGAACCAGTGAATTGGTCAGAAATAAATAATACTTAATTGCAGTCACTTTGCATACAATTGACATTTTATGTTGAACTGTCACTTCACACAATATGATGACTTCCTATGAAATGACAGTAGCCCATGTAACCATATGTAATTTCTATGCTAGCAAAACATAGTGGATACGTTGTTTTATGACTGATCAGCCTAATTGTTGCGTTGTTCTACACATAGCTGTCACTGAGCGCATGTGATGCAACCTAGAAACTAATTCTGATTGTATTGTACCATACCCAGTGTTTATTTGTCACATTGATGAGTGACCTATTATTTGTTTATTATTTATTATTCTGCTTATTATCACATGATTCAATTACGTTATTAGTCAATTTGAGATAACTGGTCACGCGCTCGCGGATTGACACAAGGGGTAAAAAGGAAAACCATGCTGGAGAGAGGAATTCACTGACGAGGGGACACGGTTGGAGAAACTGAAAGTCGCTGACTAACAAGTCATGAAAAATGACACAGTCCCCGTTAAATTTTTGAAAGTTCCCTTTGTGCTCGTCATATTAAAGCGGAGGATTGTCCCGAGCATGTCCTTGAAACTTGAGTTCCAAGTGGCGTATACAACAGATTGTTTATTTACATCAAAACACGTGTTCCGTGTAGTAATATGGCCAAAAATAAAAACAGCCGTTATTCGGCCATCTTTGATCTGATTATGAAACACACTGATATGTATGATGTATGTGCCAAATATGAATGAAAATGATACATAAATTGTGGAAATATAGTAGTAAGGCCAAAAAGTCAGATGGCTGTCAATCGGCCATGCTTGACCAGATTTTGAAACAAATTGTCATGGACATGCATTTTAACATGTATAAAGTACATGTATGTGCCAAAATTGAATGAAAACTGACAGAGCATGTCCAAGATACCGCATATAAAAAAACACAGTTGACCATCTTTGATCCAATTGCGAAATAAATCATCATGGACATGTATCCTAACATGTATAATCTATGTACCAAGTTTGAATGACAACTGACAAAGCATGTCCAAAATACAACATTTTCAAAAAACAAGATGGCTGCCAGTCGGCCATTTTGAATGCAATCGCTAAACCACTGCATGTGCATATGTCTCACATAAAGTACTAGGCACATGCAAAGAATGAACGGAATCAGTCCAAGGAATTCTGAGATATGACTCCGAACAGACACACGGTCGCACAGACGGAGATCAAATTATAAGTCCCCGTTTTCGGACTTCGTCCGAACAGGGACTAAATAGAGCACTTTCATCACTGGAAAGTTGCTGAATTGAAGTTGTGGGTGCTTAAACTGTGAGACGGCATCACTCCGAATTGGATCGGACGATTTTCCGTGAGACTACTTGTCTGCGAACCCGGAAGTGGCAGTATTGCTGGACTGGCATTGTTTACATGCGAAGTTTGCATTCGCCCAGAAATCATCTATGAATGACATTGCCATGAGTATCTCTTAATCACAAAGATTATCGATGAGTAACATTACCGTGAGTACCTCTTAGTTTTAGTGCGACTATCGTCAACGAGTGACGTTACCGTGAATGCCTTGCGCTGTGTACGTTGTCAACAAGTGACAGTACCGTGTATTCCTCATATATATACTAGTATATTGTGTATATCGTCAATGAGTGACATTACTGTGTGAACCTCTTATCGTAAAGAAAGTGAATGAACAATCTACGCTCCGTGAATCTACTTACGAAGATTTCAACGAACGCATGGTCGAGACTTTATTTAAGTTAATATACCCTTCATCAACATTGTGCTCTACAATACGTGAGTAAATACAATTCATCCATATTCGCCGACCAGTGTGTGCATTAATTGCCGAACTCGATACTTAGTGAACTCTTGTTTACTGTTGACTGTTGTTCATTATCATTGTGCATTATTGCACTAAAGTGTATGTTGAAGTTGCCCCATAGTATCATCATATACAGGAATCCATTTTCCCTATTTGCATGCAAGGTTGAATAAATGCTAGTGACCTTTGACATATATCATATTAGTCTCGTTCTTGACCAATCATTGTGGTGTGTGACGCTTCATTGCATTAGTTTAGTTATCCAAATATGACATTGGTCGCCCTGTGCTACGTTTCTAAATTAATTTGGGGACTAGTGTCTTTTGTCAACTTGCTGACCAGAGAACCTACAAGTTACACCCACAATGGCCAAAGTTACCCATTTGCTTAATCGTTTTTTGTTTTTGTTTCTGGCAAGATTTTAATTTTCGCACTATAGCCAGTGTATCTGTCTGACAGCGACCTGGCTTGTTGCTATGGAAGCACATAATTATTGTTACTATATGATTAAACATATTGTGAGTTTATTCTCAAAATGATATCATTGTTGACTTTAAATGGCGTATCAAAGAAGACCATGATTGGTGGAGTGTGAATAAAATGTAAACATCAATAATAATAATCTCCTCACTTGAATATAAACTATAGTGCATACAAAACAAATTGGGATGAAGTATGCCTATGACTGGTATGAAATGACCTAGAAGTAAGTGACAAGGGATGACGTAGATTTGGTAAAAAAGGACAGTGTCCCTGTGAAACTAACCTAAATCATTATTGGCTTTTTCCAAAGCTTTTCTACCCTCCTCCATAACATTTACAACATAGACTGGTTCTGGTTTTACATCTATATTAAAACTATCCAATGGTGTCTGATATTCACATTCTGTCATTCTGTCATGTAAAACAGAGGTCAACTTTTTAGCTTCATCTGTTGCCAAGGCAACATCTTCCCCATCTTTGTTTTTTACTTGAATGAGAAAGCGCTTGGAGCACTCAATTCGGTGTATTTGGTGCAATCCAGCAGAATGACACATTGACACTGCATTAGTAGACCAGGCTGTAGAAAAATTCAACCTGAGAACATAAACAAAAAATATTTTTAATATATGTATTACATTAAAATCAATAGTACTACCTACATAGCACATACCAACACACCCACATAGCACACACCCACACAGCACACACACCCACACAGCACACACACCCACATAGCACACACACAGCACATACCTACATACCACATTGCAGTCTTGGTAAAAATATAAGTGCATGTTTACATACTTTTAATAATACATACGGTTGTCTAAATGTTTTTTGAGGGATTTATAATTTGGCTGTGTGATATTAATGATGAACTACAATAATAAACTCTTTCCTGACTTCATTTCATATATAAAAATTCTAAGGCATGATGGTACAATACCAGAGACTAATTTTTATTGCTTACCTAAGGGCGATTTCTATTGCTTACCAAAGGGTGATTTCTATTGCTTACCAAAGGGTGATTTCTATTGCTTACCAAAGGGTGATTTCTATTGCTTACCAAAGGGTGATTTCTATTGCTTACCGAAGGGTGATTTCTATTGCTTACCAAAGGGTGATTTCTATTGCTTACCAAAGGGTGATTTCTATTGCTTACCAAAGGGCGATTTCTATTGCTTACCTAAGGGCGATTTCTATTGCTTACCTGAGGGTGATTTCTATTGCTTACCTAAGGGTGATTTCTATTGCTTACCTGAGGGTGATTTCTATTGCTTACCTGAGGGTGATTTCTATTGCTTACCTGAGGGTGATTTCTATTGCTTACCTAGGGTGATTTCTATTGCTTACCTAGGGTGATTTCTATTGCTTACCTAAGGGTGATTTCTATTGCTTACCAAAGGGTGATTTCTATTGCTTACCTAAGGGTGATTTCTATTGCTTACCTGAGGGCGATTTCTATTGCTTACCTAAGGGTGATTTCTATTGCTTACCTAAGGGTGATTTCTATTGCTTACCAAAGGGTGATTTCTATTGCTTACCTGAGGGTGATTTCTACTGCTTATCAAAGGGTGATTTCTATTGCTTACCTGAGGGTGATTTCTATTGCTTACCTAAGGGTGATTTCTATTGCTTACCAAAGGGTGATTTCTATTGCTTACCTGAGGGTGATTTCTACTGCTTACCTGAGGGTGATTTCTATTGCTTACCTGAGGGTGATTTCTATTGCTTACCTAAGGGTGATTTCT